CGACGGGAGGATGGGAGGGCGGTGGATGAAGTTGATGCTGTTGAGATTGTGGAGAGGGTTGAGGTGCTCGGCGGGAGCGGGTTCTTGGAGAGTTTTTTTGGCATTTTGAGATTAGCGAGGGAGAGATTGATAGAGAGGGGAGGTTGGATGTGGTGATGGAAGGTTTTGGTGTTGAGAAGTTGGGACTTTCTTGTTATCGCCCCGCGGTGGGGGGATGTGACGTCGCTGACGTCGCGTGCGTGCGTGCTCTGACCAGGCAGCTAACGTTGCTATGATCGACGCATTGAAATTCATCCACTCTTCAAAGGGTTCCCGGTTCAACGGTCAACGTTGTAGCGGCTTTATCTATACTTGATCTTGGAACCTAATCTCACGCGGAGTGTAATACGGAAAGACTATCACTGGACTCTAACCAAGATGCCACCCGACTTTGGTCTTTATTAGCTCCTGTGATCTAGGTATGTCAATTTTCTATCATTTACTTTATTTGTCTGTAGCAAAGATGCATGGTAATTGGACCCTTATTTTCTTCAGTAAATTGCACATAACAACAAGTCTACGCTTGGTGAATGACCATAGTGGAGGGTCTGTCTATTCTCTCCTTCCAGCACCGGTTAGGCTTTTCGTAGTGAAGTTCAAATATGAAAAACCAGTTGAAGAATGCGCGTATTCAAGTCTCCCAAACCTCATTGCTTACAGTACCTAGAGAGTCTTGCTGCAGCCCAGGTCGAATGTCAACCTCTAAATCCCTACTTCGGCTACCCCGCACTCACACTCTCAGCGATTGCGGGGAGGCAAATTACGGGTCCTCTTCAGCACAATAAACCTCATCTAATTGGCCCGAGGTAATTAGTCCAAAGTCGGGGACATTTCCCCATTTAACTTGGACGTTTGCCTGACTCTTTTTAACCTGAAGAACTGATTCTCTTTTTTGTCGAAAACGCTGCAGTTCATCTATCCCCGGGTATTTAACCCCTGCGATATGCATATGCCGATGAGCGTATGTCTAAGAGATAAGCGATTGAGTGCTGCTGTGTGTCATTCTTGACGGTCAGGGGTTGGTCGCGAAGATCGACTCATTCACGCGACACGGTCAATTGAGGGACTCAAGACGGAAACAGAAGATTCATGATGGCTAAAAGAACGTGGTCGGACTCTGCTGGAGCGACCACCGCTGAAGCGGCGGTATGTCTTGATGTTCTTGTTATGAGAATTAGCTGACAAGACAGGCCCCGACGCCAGCTCGTCCAAATGGAAATGGGAGAACTGCTTCTCATCGGCAAAGCATCACGGGAGTTGTGTCCAATGACGGTACAGTTCCTCAGATCTCACGCAAGATCAAGGCGTGCGCAGCATGTCGAAAACACAAGGTGAGATTAAGAAACTGCATTGAGATGAGTCAGAGTTAATTGTGGTAGATCAAATGTTTGATGGATGAAAGTGGCCCGCCATGTCGAAGATGCGCGGAGAGAAATCTAGGCTGTGTCTTGAGCAAAAGTCTTCAAACCATCATGGATGAAAAGTCACAGTAAGCCCTGCCTCTTCATCACTCACCATCTCATGATAACTAACAAATCAGATTCTCCGAATCAGTGGTCCAGGATCTAGAGCAAATGCACAGCGCTCTAAGACAAGTCATGACCAAACTCAGCCTCCCAGAACTCCCACCCCTACAAAGCATCAACGCACGAGAAGAAGGGTCACCACCTAAAGACGACCAGGCAAATACGTCTCATAATCTCTCTGTGTCACAAGAGGAATTCCGTGGTCCTTCATGTGACAACTCACCCAAAGCGACGCCTGAGGATGAAGGGCTTCCTTATGTGCCTATTCACTCACTTTACACTCTTACTAAACTCAGTGCTCTTCGATCACCCGATAACCCTGAGGCCCAAAAGGGAAACGCCATCAACGACTTTATCGCTCGTGGTGCGCTCTCGCTAGCAGATGCAGAAAGTCTCTTCTCTCTGTATCGCGACCGTTTAGATCGGTATATGTACGGAATCGGCTGTCGATACATGACCCTCGAAGAGCTCCGTCGCAAAAGTCCCATCCTCTCCGCCGCGACACTCACAGTAGCTGCACTACACGATCCCAAAGCCGACAACATCTACGGAATCTGCAGTGGAGAGTTCCGACGCCTCATGGAAAAGTCAATGTTTGAGCGGCGCATCGATCGTGATTATCTTCGCGCCATGTGCGTTGCTTCATATTGGCTAAGCGATCTTTCCTGGATGCTCTCGGGGTATGCTATTCGACGCGCGGCGGAGTGTAATTTGCATAATAGCTATAATCAGGCTATCAAGGAGCAGAGTCAGGAGGCGGCGGATTGTGCGCGGTTGTGGTATATACTGTATATCTGTGATCAGCACCTTGCGACTTTGTATGGACGGCCTTCGATTGTACAGGAGGATTCGTCGATTCAGGGATGGGAGCAGTTCTTGAAATCGCCGGTTGCGACGGAGGAGGATAAGAGGTTGACGGGCCAGGTTATGCTGGTTAGTATTCTGCGGAATATTCGAGAGCTCTTTGGGACGGATAAGGGTGAGCCGATCCCGAGGGTATACCTGAATCACATACTGCAGTTCAGACGGCAGTTGGATGAGTGGTATACTCGATGGATGGGAGAATTGCCTGGTAAGTCAACATCAACGCTTGTCCCCGACTTATACTGACTCATTTACAGAGCAATGGACTCAAATCGGCTCATTCCCTCGAAAAGGAACCATTCTTCACTACAACTTTGCCCAGATCCATCTCTACTCACACATCTTCCGCGGTCTCTCCAACGACGCGCCCATCCCTCACTATTTCCTCGACTGCGCCATGCAAGCCGTCAACGCCGCAACCGCCATCATCGACCTCATAATAACCGACCCAGACGTCGCAGTCGGCATCGTAGGGATGCCCTCGTACATGCTTTCCATGACAGCCTTTGCCTGCATGTTCCTCATAAAAGTAGCAGTCAAATACGGCAGCGATCTCATCGAGCGCCAGCGCGTGCACGACCTCACAACAAACCTCGTTCGACAATTTCGATCTCTAAAAGCCGGTAAGTGGCATCTTGCGAATCTCATGGCGGGCGGGTTGGAGCGCATGACTGCTACGTTAGCTACACCGGATCTGGGACAGGTACAGCCTGCGGTGTATAATAACGCGGTTGAGCATGTTGATATGGTCGTGCCGGGGAATCAGGTGTACACTGACATGGATGGGGATACGTTCTTTGACTACGACATGAGCTTTGGGCTCTCGCCGGTTTTCAGGTTCGATCCGAGTATGTTTACGGTTGATGCTTCGGGACAGTCGCTTCCGACGTATCCTGATGCTGATTATGGGATGAGGCCGCAATAGGATGGGGATAATGGGCGTTTTTGCTTGGGAATACCTTGTTGTTTGTACGTGATAGGGCTTGGGTATGAAGCTGAAGAGATATTCTTATCCGCTGATGCTCCGTGATCGGATAACTAGCCTGTATCTGGGTGAAGCATGACTAGAGATGTATCATATCTGCTCCCCCAATGTACGTGATGATCCCTCCATCTACTGCAACTTCTCTCCACAGTTTGTGCATCTCGGATTTCGTTCCGTCGACTCCGCATCATCTTCTGCGGGAACACGGATAACCTCATTCACCCCGCGATAGTGGATCAATCTTATCCGACCAAACAACCATTTAAACACAACAACTCACTCACTTCATCACTAACACAATCACTAGCCTATATCAATTCAACACCAAAATGGCCAATACACAGCATATTCTCATCACAGGCGCCGGTGGCTTCATCGGCCAAGAAATCATAGCTCCTCTTCTCAACTCCTCACCCTCAATCCATCTCACAATAACCGACATCTCTGAACCTCCCGTCCCAACTCAACACGCCCAGCGCATCACTTCTCTCGCCGCAGATCTCACCAAACCCTCTGTCGTCGAACAACTCATAACATCTCAGCCCTTTGAAGCAGTGTATCTCTTCCACGGGCTCATGTCCGGCGGCTCAGAAGCGAATCTCGATCTCGGTCTTCAAGTCAACGTTGATTCAGTCCGCTACGTTCTCGACGCTCTGAGAAATAACCTCCCCGGAGTCAAAGTTGTGTTTTCGAGTTCTTGCGCTGTTTATGGACCGGAGGAGGGATATGTTACTGAGAAGACACTGCCGCAGCCGAGATCTTCGTATGGTGCGGAGAAGCTTATTGCTGAGTTGTTGGTGAATGACTTTTCGAGAAGGGGCTTGATCGATGGGAGGATCGTGAGGTTGCCGACGGTGGTGGTTCGACCTGGAAAGCCCTCCGCTGCAGCGTCGAGTTTCGCGTCAGGTATAGTCCGCGAAAGTCTGCAGGGCATTCCTAACGTCCTCCCCGTGCCGAAGGATATATCGATGTGGATCTGCAGCCCAGCGACTGTGATCAAGAACTTGATCAATATCAAGGATATACCCGCCGAGAAGTTTGGAGACTCAAGGATTGTGAATCTTCCAGGTATTACTGTTAGTGTACAGGATATCCTAGATGCTGTTGAGAAGGTTGGTGGGAAAGAGGCGGTTGGTTATGTCAAGGAGGAACAGGACGAGGCATTGTATAAGATTGTGAAGAGCTGGCCGCCGTGGTTTGATGCGAGTAGGGCCAGGGGTCTTGGGTTGGATGGGGATGGGGAGTTGGTTGATGCTGTCAAGGCTTTCCAGGAGAGATTAAAGAGTTCACAGTAGGGCTTTTATTATTAAGTGATTCTATCTCTATCAATTTATAATGGGTATAGTCAAACATCGCAACTTCTGTCCTACAGCTTTGAAGACCTCACTCTTCGTGACACTGAACTCGGCTCAATACGACCAGAAGTAACCAAATGGTCGACATCTAAGGTATTAACAAGTTCAGGTGTTGCCTGCTCCAGGCTAGTAATGCCTGCGAGCCTCATTGATGTCTCAAGCTCATCCTTAAGAACTAAACAGCATGTTAGCCACTACCACATCAACACCATTCAGATAACTTACTCTGTGAAAGGTGTTCAACGCCCTTTTGACCATACACCAACGAATACAAGAACGGTCTTGCAATTCCAACAGCAGTGGCTCCTAGTGCAATGACCTTGAGGATATCAGACCCACGCTCAAAGCCTCCGTCGATGAAGATCTCAAGATGTTCAAAAGCTTCAGGGAACCGCTTCCGGACCTCAAGGAGTATAAGGATCGAAGCCGGAGCACTGTACATCTGTCAGAAACTCTCCTTGTGAAGCGGATGAGAGTAAACTTACCCGTCGAGAGACCTCCCACCGTGATTACTCAACATAACACCCTCAACACCATACTCAACCGCCAACTTAACATCCTCCACAGTCTGAACCCCCTTGAGCACAATCGGCACAGAGCTCTCCCGTCTAATCCACTCCAAATCCTCCCACGAGAGGCTCTTATCGATATACTGCCCCATCAACCGTCCGAGTCCACTGCCCTTACCATCTTTACTGCTCTCACTACCACTCATTGCAGATTTTATAACAACAGCTTGGGGGGCTCGTTCGTCGGCTTCGCGTTTTCCGGGGACGGGGGCGTCGACGGTCACGAAGATGGCTTTTATACCGAGGGAGCGAGCGCGGCGTAGGAGTTCGATCGTTTTGGGGCGGTGCGAGTTTACGTAGAGTTGGAGGAAGAAGGGATGGCCTGGGGGAGCTGCGCCGATGATGTTGGGGAGGGAGTAGGAAGCGTTACTCGAGATCTACAAGGTTAGCTCATATCTCATGTAACAATAGCTTTTGACTTACAATCTCAAAGATTCCTTCACTGGCAGCTGCTCTACTCCAACCAAGCTCACCATCCGGATGCGCCAGCGTCGCCATGGCAGCAGGACACATAATAAACGGCGCCTTACTCTCGAGCCCTAGGATATTTCTCTTGATACTGACTTCAGCGACATTCCGTAGAATTCTCGGGCGAAGCATGACTCGGCGGATGAGTTCCTTGTTCTTGGAGACTGTGACGAGATCGGTGGCGGCGGAGGAGTAGAAAGCCCATGCTTTTGGTGATAGCGCTTTTTGCGCGGCGAGGGAAAAGTCGTTTGCTGAGAGGATTTGATCGAGGGTTGGGACGGAGGATGGGAGTTGGATTTCTGGGGTTGTTAGTGAGTGTTGTTTGAGTGAGGGTGAGAGTGAATACCGCGAGGAGGTGGGATGTTGGGAGATTCAGACTCCATTGCTGCGAGATCACTCATGATGGCGGTTAATTGCAATTGTTCACTGAAGTAAAGCTGGTGACAGTATACAATTGAGACTGAGACCCTACTGTTATCGTTGTCTCATCATGCCCGGTCTTCTTATATCTTTGGGTAGCATCCGTAGATCATCTTTAGTGCAACATCAGTCCCCGCAATCGGACTCCTCACCTTTCATCATGACCCGTCGTCTCGGGCTATTTTGGCGCGAGTGGCACCGCGGCATCGACACGGTCATGTTGCCGATGGCCTGAGATTTGCCTTGTTCGGTCTTCTCTCCGATGGACCTCAGCTGAGCCCACGAGCACTCACTCATGAAGAAATGGATACAAGAGATCTGTGTGAGCATGCAAAGATTCATATTATCTAATTTTTATGCATTCTTCGATATGGAGTGCTAGTATTCAGCCAATTGTCGGGATGGTCAAGATACTAATTTGGGTCACAATCTCGGATTCCTTTGGTCCATCTATCGACATCAACATCAACATCATGGAGAGCGTCTAATATCACCAGTCGCCTCTACAAGCAAACTAAGTAGGGACATGCCTCTTTCACCATATTCTTTCTTCCCAACCACAACAACAGGAATCACAACCTGGCCCGACTCACAACAAACAAATGCAACCCTAAACAAAGCTACGATTGTTCATTCACCAAACATCTCCTCACTTCACTCATCAAACTTTCATAACTCAAAATACCTGATATTACAATATATACTACCCTAATAACACACACCCTACTCAATAACAATATCCTCTCCCAATCTCCTCAGCGGCAACTCCTCCACCATCTTCTCCAACCGTCCACACCTCTTGACCACATCCTTCGCCTCCTCCGGAAACCCCATCCTCATCCTCCCAACCCTCTCCCACACAATTCTGCCCTCCCTCTCCGTCCGCTCAACAACAAGCAGCATGACAAGCGCCTCTTCTACAAACCACAGCACAGTCATTTGTTCACCCCGCGCGTGACGCTCAATGTACTCGCGCATTGAGCCAGCTCCGCGACTCATACGTATGTCGACGCTGACGCGGTTGAAGATCCATCCGTCAGGGTGAGAACGCGCTTTTACGCGGTCGAGGACGAAAGGATTGGGGACGTGGATCCCATAGGGGCGGATGTGAAGATTCGGTGGAGAGGGGGGCTGGCCTGTCACTGCGGTCGAGGCGCCAAAGTCATATGCTACACTTCCATCGCGGTTGACGAGTACGATGTTGGGTGAGTACGTCCAGCGGATAGAATTAGGATCGTTGCGCGATACATGCGTGGCGGAGACGTAGTGATGGTGGTTATGCTTGCGCTGAACGGCTTTTGTGTCGGGATCTACCACTGTGATAGAGGAGTAGAGATCAACTGGGCCTTTCCAGCCTGCCCATGTCCAACTGGGCATGTGAGGACGTCTTGTGGCGATGACGCCTTCTTTGTGGTGCCAGAAACATGTTGAGAGGGCAAAGATGTCGCGCGTGCGTGGGAGGCCTTGGACGGCTGGTCCTTGGTCCATTTGTGGTGCCCAGAGGGGAATGCCGAGGATGTTGAACATCTTCCCGCGGCCGACAGTGGTCTCAAGACGTCTTAGCATGCCGAGGAACGCATCTAGTGAATCTCGGTCGTATGTAAGGTCTCGTCGTGTGTAGTTTCCGATATGTTGGTCTGCTTCTCGGAAGATACTAAGCGTGCTTGGATCTTCAGCCTTGCCTGGTAATCTCTTCCAACGCTCCCAACTTCCATCAACGAACGACACACCGTTGAAAAGGCCAGGACGCATAAAGTCACACATCCGCTGTTCCTCCATGTCGTGGTAATACTCAAGCGGTAGGATGAGTGACTCAGGACAGCACATGCCCTCGCATTCCCAGTACATCTGCTGATCCGTAAAGATCAAGCGCCGTCTCGCAAGGAGTCCTTCTTGATATGTCCAGCCTCGCTGATACCACGTTGAGTTCTTAATCGCCAACCGTGGATCCTGAAGACTCGATACAAGCGTGATGTTGGAGTTGACGAATTCGTACTTTGGCTGAGCTGGTCGAGTTCGTGATCCCACGCCAGGAAGACCATAATCTGCATCCTCACCACAAGCTGCAATGATAGCTAGTATGGCGCCTTCAAAGATATCGTCCATCCTCGCAATCTGCTGCATCCGCTCTGCAGGCTGAACATCCTCCATGCATAGACGATCAACCCAGAGATACCTGATGCCGAGATCTTTAGTCGCAATGACAGCATCCCATACAACCTTGGGCCATGTTTCCGTCGTTTTGTTTCCCCAGACATAACTCAACGCCGCATATCGTTCTGTGATAGACGCAGTGACCACCTGAGGAGGATTCTTTGCGCAATCAACAAGCTTAAAACCCGGCATCTCCCGCGTAACGGGTTTTCGGCCACATCGTCCCTGGTGATAGAATTCGCAGAACCGTAGCCAATCCACTCCAATGCTCATATCAATCACACCCTCCAGCTCACGACCCCAAATACCACGTTTCTGCCAACCGGCATTATCGGTCATAGAATTCGCACGTGAATGCTTCCCTTCTGATCTAGCGCTGAGGAGTTCATTCGGTGGCTCAGGCATCGTTCGATAGAGCATACCAGACCCGCGGAACCAATCAGCGCTCACATCCCAGCTCAATGCGCCATCACCGCTCTTTTTGGGGACCACGCCTAGATATGCTGGACTGACGCCTTTCATCTTATTCTTTGCTGAGTGGCCCTGCTCAAACATGCTCTGATTGTCGATGAGGTAATTTGTATCGCGACTTGAAAACCCAGAAAGATATAAATCGCCCTCTCCCTCGCTGGGAATGTGCACTGAGAGGAAGAGCTTGCAGAGTGGACATTTTGTCATGAAGCGATTCTCTTCAAGCTCCTTTAACCGCCCTAGCGAATGCTCCTTGTTCTCAAACGTATCCGCAGAAGTCGGATTCAGAGCTCTCATGAAGAAATCATCCATGGTGTCAAACGTTGAGTCGATATCAGCCGCCCAACCCGCACACGCCGTGCACAGATTAGGGTCCTGCGGCTGTCCTCCCGATCTATCGGAATGCGCTGAAGGACTACGACTCTTGCGCCAGCTGATCCTCCGAATGAGAGAAGCCCTCCTGGGCTCACGGTCGTCATCAGCCGGGGGAGGATCCACAGTGAGATGCTGCATCATGTTCTTGAGAGGGTTCCGTGAGCGACGCCTCTCGACGCCACCGCCTGGAGAGACGGGAGGCGTGACGGTCGGAGTTCCTGGATCCAGCATATCCGGCATTGTCACGGAGTGAGTGAGTGAGATGGGAAATGGGTTCGGCTGCCCGAAGATTGAAGTCGTTTTGGCGCCGTTGACGCTCCGTGATTCTCGGGGAGGAACCGGGTTTCTTTGACCCCCGTCTCGGCTGCTAGATTCCGGTTCTCCACTCTTGGCGCTGGCGCCAAAAAGATAAAAAAAGAATCAAGGGAAAAGAGAAGCAGGGATGATTTCTTATTAGTGGCGTTTAAATAAGGGGAATAAATAAACGCTGAAGAGAAGAATAAAAAAGGGAGAGTCGAGTTGCCAAATAGTTACTTGGTAGGTGATGAGTGCGTAGGCGGTCGCTATAAAAAGATGCAGAGCCGCTGCCAAGTTTAAAATATCAGGCGGTTATTTCGAGATGAATACAACACAACCAACAGATCGTGGTCATGAAACAAACTCCTTCGGACGCGGCGCAGGTTGGTTCGTGAAGCGGGGCTTGGGGGCCAAGTGATGGAGACAAAGAAAGAAAAGAAAGAAGCGGTAAAGAAGAAGACGAAGGAGAAGAAGAGAATCTCTTTCAAATATAAGAAAAGTGTCGCTGATGGTATATTACTCGCCTCAAATTAGATATTGGCAGGAAAAGCGGCAGCGAGATTCGATCCGAGATGAACGCAGCAAGGATCAACTGAGACATCCACAGGAACTAATTCTCAACCCAGGCGATAATACCACCAAAAAGACTTTGAATAAGAATTGCATTTAATGTAAAGAATCTGATTTTTTTGTGAACGAGGCTGGTTTACACAGCCTCACTTGGCAATGACTTGGCAGGTTGAAAAAAGAAGAGATGCAGATGCAGATTGTGCGGAGAATTCACGATGACGTAATTTGATGATTGTGAAACAGCCTCACATTTAGTTACTGATGATTCGTGTTGTGTTGTGCTCTGTATTGGGTAAGTCGACACCGAGTGAGTGAGCTGTACATACAAGTAAAGTGGGTTGTTAGGTGGTTTCAATCCTTTTTATGGCGCAGCGATCACTAGAATCTCACTCAGATCAAAACGCTTTGACGGGATGGACCCTGTAGGATCAGAGTTGATCCGCAGCTGGAGATGATCCTGTCGCCAAAGATAGATCAGAAGTGCTACGCGATCTTACTTTCAAGACACTGCCTTGTTCAAGAATGATTCCATCAAGACATCGAGGTTGGATTGAAAAGGCATATCAAGATAGTGGATTCACCTGTAGAACAGGTTGGTGTAGATCATGTCAGCCTTGAAGCGGGGAACATTGCTTTTGCCTCGACTTTACCCTATATCACCACGATAATCTCATAATCTCACAACCTCCTCCATTACTTCTCATCGTTCATATCTAAACATCTTCCCGAGTAAACGATATCGCCCATGTCATTCCGGGCCGTCGTGCTCCTCCACGCCAATATCCGAACCAGAAACGCTATATCCTCGGCCCTCACAATGAAACAGCCCAAAAGAGGGGTCGATTCCATCTGATCTTGTCCATCTCTAGTATGCTTCCAGCTTAGCCTCCAACGGTTGCAGCGGCTATCTCAGATTTATCTGCCTCCATCTCTTGCGTGTGACGTTGCTTAGTCTAGAGCTAGGAAACTCTAATATTCTCACCATGCACGATATCATGTCGTTCCGATAGTAACGACAAGAATCGAGATCTATGTACTGCTGTTGAGATTCATGCAAGGCGAGTCAAGATGTCACATGAGATGAGGTACATGTTCAAGGCATGCAAGCTTCAATTGTCTCTAAACTGCGCTGCCATCGAAAGTTGGCGGTTCCAGTCCATGACTAGCATGTCTCTATTTCTTTCTTTCTTTCCTTTCCATTGTACCTGTCTGTCCGACTTGCTCGTTGAGCTCGCATTAGATACCCTCCTGTATCGTACCCTGGAAGCATGGCCCTTGAAGATCCGCGAGTGTCGTTGTCATGGCCGAGTGTCGTTGGTGATGGAAGAAGGAATTTAGTGCTATCGAGTGATTAGAAGTTGTTCAATATATGAGATGGTGTCTGGTAGGAGCTAACCTTGCAGCAAGAGCAGTCAGTGCCGCAGGCAGAGGCCTCGTGGTTGCAGCAAGAGCTGGATACTGTTAGTCGGATGTTCGATGCTTCACCGTTACAACTCTTTCAGGCTCGATAACCATTAAGAGGTAGTAGCAGATTGAGGGGAGCTCACCAGGGAGACATGTTGATAATTGTTGGTGAAGAAGGCCTTCGAAAAAGTTGTAAGTGTTGTGTGTGTGTGTTGAAGAGTGAGATTGTTGGATGATGAACAGAACCCGATTTGAGCGAGATGAACCGCCCTTCTTATACTTTTCGAAGCCTCATATTCTCAACCATCTTCCATCATACTCCATCTCTCGGTTGTCTGATTATCGCATCCGGCGTGGGTATGGGCGTGGATGGAGGTGGGAGTGACTCCACCGCATGTGCATCACCAACTTGTCTCGAATCCAACCAAGTCTCAGGGTCCTCCCAAGTCAAAGTGACCTTCACCCCGCATGCCCATGTACGATGTGGGAGGCCCATGTTTCTGTAATTGGCCGAGATGGTGCATGGTGGTTGCGCCGAGCCTCCACTACAGGGAGAGCTCTCCACCGTGAAGCTCCAGCTCAAGCTCTACTCGCGCCGTCCCGAGATGCAGCCACTGGGAAAGAGTTTCATGGCCACCAGCGTTGCAACGCAGACTTGCACCTATTGAACCGAGCGGCACCAGATGCGGAACCGACAGTTTCTTTCCAGAAGAGGTAGGATTGGCATGCTACTGAGGCCTGCTGCTGACATCGTAGCGGTATCGCCACGTAACGCATGCAGATGTAGTTCGCAAGACATGGCCAGTACCCATAGATGTCTTAGCTTGAGCCGGATTCCGATAGCTCAGTCTAGCTGCCAGGGACAAGGCAGCACCTGAAGCAAGTCATGCTTCCATGGAACTCGAACACTTGGGAGTGGGGGTTCATCCCAGCGACGACAGAGCTTTAGAGCGGCTCAAGCCGGACTGACTAAAATAGTTTCGTCCATTGCCCACACCGGTGAGTAGGGGCCTGAACTGGGGTTGCAAGAGAAAGAGAAGAAGGATGTTGTACCTAGAGACCCTGCATCCAAGCCGGGGTAGTTCCCCTTTGGGCCTACCGAGATGCCTCGTCCTGTACGTGGACGAATCAAGAGAATAGATATGCCGGATGGGGGTACACACAGAGCAAGAAGGTGTAAGAGGAAGCGATGAGAATGGATATGAACATGTGAGAGGAATAAGAGTTAGACTTATTCGCCGAGTGGGGTAGTGAACCAAGACGACAAGAGGGACGGATAATGTGAGGCAACCAATAGCAGACGAGCTATGTCTGATGGATGATCATGTTAAAGTGAAGCCAGCAACAATCGAGTAATGTTTGCCGCTGGAATGATAATCAACAGCCAAGATAATCATGCAGTAGATGCACGGCGAGGGCTAGTTCATCATCGTGATATGTGAACGTGACGAACCAGTGTGATGAACAGGCCTATCAACAACAACGGAGTGTGATAGGCATAAGTGAGACGGATCGATGAGGGATAATCGAGAACAACGTGGGCATGGATGGGGACCACAAAAGCCAATACATTGACGGTTCAGAGTCGATTAGTTCTGTACCATTCATGCATGCATCCCGCGCATGCATCTTTGGCAAGATTGGGCAATGATTGGTGTGTTGGGCCCTCCTACACCAAGCGAGGATGGGAAACACAAGGCAGTAAAAGTATATCCCAAAGAACTGGTGAAAGCGTAGGACTATTGCGCCCGTGCATGAGGAGACTTTAGTCATGGGAAACACATCGGGCTACCGGAGGTGTGGGTGCAGACGTGGGAGTGTAAATGGGATCGAGAGTGTGTGATTGATCCATGGGAAACGATGAGCTGTCGTGACCCACGTCTAACGCGGCAAACAGACACGATGATAGAAAACAAGATATCTTGAGGGAAATAACGGAGAGAAAGAGGGGCTAGAGAAAGAAGAAAGCTGGGACGTAAGAGATAACGGCGGAGACTTACATCTGTGCATGACGATCATGCTAGGACATGAGAATGCCTACTGTCTTCTCAACACCAGGTATCTCTGGTGAAGCGATCAATATTGGATCAGGTAAAGACAAGCGTCTTCTCATCTGCCCTTCTACAACACACCAAGGGCAGAGAAACATCATCTCATCATGAGTATCAACTACTTCGCTACATCATCATCACACACCGAAGTCCGCTATCACACGGAGGCAATCCGGGATCCAGGCATCGTCTCCATACGGGGCAACCGAGAGTCTCCCCGCCCGGTCTGAGCTGGTAGTAATGTTGCCCGAGTTTGTCTTGTATCCAGTCATAATAATCTCAAGGCGTGGGATGGAGACAAGGTCTCGGAACTCGGCTGGGTAGTTTGTATCATGATGGAAAGTCGAGCCGGGATATCTCTCGTGGGGGGACTCAGGGATATGGCTTCGTCGTGAGACTCAGGAGTAATAAGACCGTGATAATGGGGCCATGGGCCGTGGACCTTTTGAGAGGACGTGGGTGAGGTAAATGCTGTGTCCACGGTCGGCGAAGTTGAGTTGAGTCCGGGTTGAAGTCGAGGTCGGTACCGAGGGAGACCGACTGAAGGGATGATCAAAAGGAGGTGAGCCCTCGATACAAGAGACGGGTTCCGTGATGATCGAGGCTGGTGGCTGAAGGTAGTCGAGCTGCTGTTGTATTACTCTCATGGAAGACTTTCGAGTCCAATGATCCATGGTACTTTTCGGGTATAGCAAATTGACACTGACCAGAGAAGTATCCTCTCCCTTGTCCAGGGCGATTCAAGGCTTTCTCTTGCCATCGGAGATCAATAACCAAACAAGTGCTTGTTCATCTCGAAGACTTCAAGAGTCAAACCAAGGGACGACCTCATTCTTATACTCATTTCTCACCGTCTCAGCCTTATCAACAACCCCCAGGGTCCTCCCGCTAGACGCGGCAACAATGATGCAACGCACACTATATCAGCATCGACAATATCCGAGATCAACTCTGTTTCTGGCTGTTTTTCGAGGCCATCGCATCAAATTTGGTGGTGTTGGCACTCAAAAAGACATCAGGGTTGTCCATCAAGGTACACACTTGTCTATCCGGGTTCTCAAATCCAGATAGGGCAGGCACACGACGATAGTGACGTGATGGAAAGATACAACTAAATTCCACTGAATTAAGTGAAGAACAAAGGTATTCTTATATCGTGGGCTTAAAACCACCTTTATGGACAGAACATAATTGGTTGACTGATGAAAATGGTGTTATGTTTGATTACTGTGAAATGGCCGCAGATGATGAAACACCGAAATTGTTACTGGTCCAAGTCATATAATTCCCTCTGAAACTCTTGAAGTTCATTCTATATCTAAATGCGAGATCTTGTGAGAACCTTCGTACACTCTTCAAATACGACAAAGTGCATTGTTGTTGGCATATGTACCCCCAGCTCCAGCACCGCTTGCTTTCCATCATGTATGACAGCATCTATACCCCTGAACTCGGCCGATTAGATACTCCCTCTCGATTTCTGTCAGCGTCAGATTCAACTTCTTTCATTCTCATAAATCAAACAAAGAAGCTGCCCTCTCCAAAAATTCAAAGTCGATATTCGGAGGTCCTCGACTCCTCGTTCCTCATCACTCGAGTGATCTGCCGAGAACAAAGCTATCTTTGCGCTTATGACCTTTAGTTCTTAATATTAAGGATAAGTTCCATGATAAGGAGTATTCCGTCCATGTATAATCACTCTTGAGCAAACACCTATCTTCCATCGGCTTCACGATGAAGCTCCTCGCCTCGTCCTCCCGTATATCGATACATCTCCTCAGCTTTCCTCGACCAAGCACAGCTCAGTGTTGTGTCTCTTGAAATCTTTCTATTAACTCGAATTGACGGTTGTCCTCTTCTTCTAGTGGCTTTGGTTCGGGCGATCCTGCCTTCGACACCTAACACTCTCGAATCGATGATCCTATATGCAAGTTTGAATATCTCAACGTTACAAAGGTCCCAGATCTTCGATCCTATATAATTGACGTAAATAAAGCACTGGGAGATCATGTTTATACTCTGTTCTAGACATTGTCATGGTATACCATCTGAACTTTCTTATTTGCTCTGCTCACATTCTTGCCATATATGCCACTATTCGTGACAAGACAAAACCCCAACCACTAACCACTACCTTAGAAAGGCAAACATAGTACCGATATACGCCCTCTAGCCTTTATATTTATAACCTGTCCAAAATAGGGTGAGGCTTTTGCAACTGTGGTGATCCTGGTCTGGATGACGGGGCGACACCGCAAGCATCGATGTGATACTACAAGAGATGGAGTAAACTGCATATCCTAAATATCACAGTACTAAATAAGATAATTCGATTTTAAGCATAAGTTCAGGACCCCATAGTGCACAGAAAAGATTGTTCAAGAGGCTAAGCAATAGCCAAATCTTTACTTGCAGATTCCATAGTCCATTAGCTACTTGGGCACCCCCTGGGTCCAACAAAGCTTCGAATCTTGAGCAAGGTGCCCTAATTGGCTGGCCTAAAGACCTCAAAAGCTAGACTAAACTTGCCAAAGTCTTTATATTATTTAGGATAAAGGTCACAAGATTAATTCTCTTGTAAGTAGCTTACGGTCTCACTTGGGAACCCTCGCAATTACAATATACCGCATTACAATTATCATCTGAACTATCCTATCAGTTCTTCTTCAATACCCAATGCATCCAAGCCTATCATACAAAGAAATCCCAGGGCTAACACGGAATCGTACAGCAGGCCGTTGGGCTGACCATCCCAACCGACAAACAAAAGACAGATGTGCTCTCCTGTGGTATCACTAGACTCTGCGCACTGCCCCTAGCTTCTCAACACACAGACGGGCTCGCACGCAATTCTACCACGGCTCAAATCCCTGCGCAAGGTCACAAAGTTCGACAGGAAATAAGACTCTTCCTCTCATACCCCTCTTCATCCTCGCAATTCGGGGGAGCAAGTCCAACATAGACTCTGTTGGTAGCTGGGGGATCTCATCACCAGTGCCCGAAAGCCTATATCCAGCCCTTCGTCCGCCAGACCAGGGTTTGGTAGGGATAAAAGGTCCGTTGTGTGCTGCTTGGGTGAGATACTTTGTTTCGTAGTGACGATCGATCAAGGCCCATTGAAGTAAGCGGGGATGGAGCTTTGCTGCTTCGGTGATGGATCTCGCAATGACTTGACCTCTTCTTCCGGTTGTGAGGTATGTCAGCCTTGCGCCGTGACGGATAAGGAGCTTGAAGCATTTGAAGGCTCCAATGCTGGCAGCAAACATCAATGGTGTTCCCTTCCCATGCCACTCGTGTTCAATGTCCAGACCCATCTCAAGTAAAACCTGCAGAAGCTTCGGGTTGTCATTGCGGATAATGTAAAATGATGGAGTGTATTTGTCATCCGGTTCAAAGTTCACTAAGCGAGCACGATACTCGTGTGGCATGCGCTTCATGATCGCTTTGAGCTCCATGGACGATAATTTCCTATTAGCAAGAATCTCGCTGAGTAAGAGCGGTTCCTGTTCTGCAAGTCGATGGAAGTCAAAGTTTCCATTCAGTACAAGCGGCATGCCCTCAGCACTCTCATAGATCGCATTCGTGAGAGTGCTTCCGGTACCTGGCCTTGTTACGTAGGGATCCGCTCCAAGCTCGATTAACTGGCGCATGATATTCACATCGACATTAACCATTTCGAAAGTAATGTCGAAGGATGTCGTAGGGCTCGCGCCGTTGCTCAATAGACAACGAGTAACTCGGAAGTCACCGTAGGCAACAGATCGCCCCAAGGCTGATGCGCCGTTGGCACACAAAAGATTCGGGTTGGAGCCCGCTCTCAAGAGTGTTAACACCATATCTATTTGGCCAAAGTGGGCAGCCTGGTGCAGGGGGGTTACAAGTTCTGAATCTTGCGCATTGACATCGGCTCCGTTTCTGATGAGGAGATTGGCCACATTGTGATATGTAGTTAAACCATTAAATCGATTACTGCCATCTTTTTTGGAACATAGAGGTATAACATCATGTAGAACCGTACTGTGGTTTGCGGCAGTATTATCCGAAGTAACTTGCTTCCTCAAGTTCAAAGCGTAACGTAGAACTCTCTGTTGAATGCTCTCATTTGCAGAAAACTCGAATTCCGAAGTAACTCCAATGGCCCTCATCTGCGCCCTGCTACTTGTCAGTATGACCTCTTGTTCGTCTATGTGTCACTTACCAGTATCTCTGAGCATGCTCAGTTAGGTGTTCGATGAATATCTCAAGGACCATTTTCTGATGGTAAACAATATCAGGTCCACTGTTACGGGAGTGGAAAAGAGCTTGGATCGGTGAGATCGGGAGATGGAACCATGACATCCCCATCTTCAAATAAGCATCTAAGCATAGTTTGAAGAAGGAGCGTGCTTTATCTGCAGCGATAAACAAATCGGTGGTTATCAGTTTTCGAATATTCAGGCATGCGCAAAGAAGTGCGTTGTAGCCATCCGGCCAATGTTCCTCACATCCAGCCACGAAACCAGTAAACCCCATCTCCACTAGTTCCAGCATAGGTCGGATCTTGTTGGTTGCTGCCGTGTAACTGAGAAGGGTACAGCCTCCACAAGGCATTATGGCCGAGGCCAAGTCCTTCCTTGAGGTGTGGTCGAGAATAGACGTAAACAAAGGATTTCGGCTTAGTTGATAATGGTCTATCGCATCTGCTACCATGGCGCCTATTTGTCTGGGTTCAGAGATCTTCTGCTCGTGAGTTGCTTCGCCGTGAGATGACTCTGGCAGTGAGTCACTGTCAGAGTTATCGTTGTTGTCGTTTCGGGCCGGAACCGGGTTCAGCGAGATGATGCCCATATCCTGGGGATTATCATAGTCCAACAAATTATCTTTCATATACTGAATCAATTCTTGTTTGCCGCCAACGATTGCCAAGAACAGAGGGGTTCTTCCCGAATGGTCTCTCACACTGAACAGAGGTTGTGAGTATCTCATCAATATTTTCACACAATCCAAGGAACCAGCTTTTGCAGCGAGGTGGGCGCATGTTCTACCCAATCTTGGACTGATAGCAGTGATCTTGTCAGCCAGAGGTGTGGCCTCCAATAGGGTTGTGAGGGCATCACGATGGCCCCCGGCTGCTGCAAACTGCAAGGCATTGTAAGTATCGCGATCCTCCATGTGTTCGTAGACGGATAGCCAAGGAAACTCTCCCGATCCGACTTTCTCGATGATCATTTCGAGGATAACCACATATCCAAGCTTGGCGGCAAGAAGATAGGCACTGATGGAATTTGGCGGTGCCAAAGAAGCATCTGCGCCTCGTTCAATCAGCAATCGCCCTAGAAGGATCTTCTTTGAGCAGATCGCTATCGTGAGCAATGAAGGGGACGATGTGGATGATTTCATTGGTGACGTACTAAGGGAGCAAGAGTTAGTCGAAGTATAGGATAAGTTCAGAAAACTTAGGAAAGTGTAGGATGAGTTTAGCAAACTTTGTGAAGTTTAGGATAGATTTAGGTAAACCCAGGGGAAAGGGTATGAGTTTAGGATAGGTGTAGGTAAAATTAGGTAAAAGGAGGATGAGTGTAGGATATCCTTAGGTAAACTGGGGCAGAAGTAGGATGAGTTTAGACCAGAATTAGAAGACTTACGCAGGTATTTCCAAGCCATCAACATCCAATCCCTCATTAATCAACTGTTCGAGAACCTCCACAGCGACCGTTTCATCAGCTACCCGGACGAGCTCCGTGAATGTATACTGTTGTCGCCGCCTAAGCTGTTGAGGCGTCGTGCCGAACAGCAGAGGCCGTATCATGCTCACATCAATAGGCTGATCAGCTAGAAAGGTCTCAAAGACCGACCTCCCGTTGAGAGGTAGTGGCCGCCGAGGCTTGTGCGCGTCGCAGCCACATTGAACGAGCAGTTGGACAACTTCTGGCATACGGAAACTAACGAGCTTCCACAGCAGATGCCCCGCCTCGTCCTCGTCAAAGAAGCCCTTGTTGCCGAGTTCAACGCGCTGTCGATCCCTATCAGACAACCAGCCGACCAAGATAGTGGCGACGAACGACATGTGCCAATGGTACCATTCCGGTGGCATGTCAGCCCCTTTCGTCGCTATACAGCTGATAGCCCATTTTTTGCTCTCCTTTTCGTAGTCTGCGAGGGCGCCCACATCGACCAAGCACGATACAGCCATGGACATGAAAGAGGATAGGAAATAGAGGGATGTAGGTTGTGCAAGCGCATTAGTACTCATCAATGGGAGTACGTCCTGCGTGAACCGCAGCCAAATGCCTCGCCCCTTTGAATCTCGCGATTTGATGACTTCAGGCGTAAGAAGCTTCATGTAGGCGCTGCGTGTCATGCTCGGGGAGCAGGAAGGATGTGACGACGGGCTACGAGTCAATCGACCTTCCTTCAAGAGCTTGACATTCGTGATAACTGTCTCTGCTGCCGTTGTGCCGTCAGCGAATGGCCGAGAGGGTCCAGCCCTGTCAAGTACCAATGAGACCAGCTCCGGTGAAGCCGACATATTAAGCGACTTGAGGAGTAATTCATCATTCACGTTAGCCTGGGGAAAGAGATGAAACAGCTGTCGTACCAGCCCCAGATTGCCCCATTCGACAGCCCATCGAGCCAGGTTCTCGTTGCCCTCCGCTCGTATATACCCTTGGCTTTTCTCAAGCAGAAAAAAAGCTGCAAATGGTGCGGCGGCCGTAGAGGTCTTGGGAGATTGTTGAAGAGCCTCAACGTGAGCAAACGCTGCCTGTAGTGGCGTACGCCCTTGTTCATCGACCGCGTTCAAGTTGCGGATCTTGTAAGGATCGTTGTCCCACAGGAATTTGAGTATGTCGTCTTCGTTAGTTGCGGCGAAGTAGTGCCAAACGTTGCGGCCGCCATTGTCCTTATCAAAAGTCGGTACACCGTGCTCGAGAATTAGCTTGGCCATAGGACTAACTTCGTTACAGACCATGAGTGGTGTGCGACCACTTGAGTCTCTGGCTCTGGTATCAGCCCCGGCTTCAATAAGCATTTCCAGAATCTCGTTCTGTGCAGATTCAGCAGCCATGTGGAGAAGAGTCTCTTCCTTATCATGTTTGAAGTTGGCAGAGAACCTTGGGTCTTTGATCAGACGATCCACCAAGATCACATTGAAGTCTAAAACGGCCGTCCGAACGGCAGCCGCAAAGTTATTGTCTTTCAATGTGTCCACCTTTCCGTCACCCACGGGGGAAAGCCTGATGTTGGCGTGCACCATGAGTCGAGCAACCAGTTCTTGGAGCCAGTTATGCTCTGTGGACTCTGTTTCAATGTCGGCCAATGTCAAGTCATAGACGTACGTGAGCAAGCGCGCAAATCGAGTTCGATGAAGCAGACCACGTTTGACTACAGGTTCTCGCTGTAAAAGTAGACAAAAAGAAGAGTCCAGTGCGTCTCCTTTAGCGATGTCAGAGGGTCCTTTGCCTTGGGTGGCATTTGCATATCCTTTGATGATGTTTGTAAAGATTGCTTCATGTTTGGTCTTCATTGCAGTCCAAAAGGCCAAGCCTGCGAGTGATACCTCTTCAGAGGCATCTTTCCAAGAATACCGAAACGAGCAATCTGCGCCATTTTCGACAAGTAATAGGATAGTTGCCGCCTGATCGACATCAGAGTCGTGACCAACGAGAAGAGTCGGCCACGATACTGGCTCTGTACGGGTGATAAGAACCTTGCTGCCTACGAGGGCGCAATATAGTGGCGTGCCGAGAAGACTGGGCTGGTTGACGTTGGCTCCCATTGAGAGAAGGTCTCTACAGAGGTTAGGCAGCCCGAGGGCAGCAGCAATATGAAGTGGCAAGACAGATCCGTCGCAGAGCGCATCAGTCAGCTCGAGAAGACATCTTGGCGAAAGGGCCATCGTGCCGAACGTTCGAGGGTATGTCTCCCTGGCATACTCAAGAACCCACTGTACAAAGTTGTACGACTTTTGGATACGAAAGAGGGAACAGACTTGAGGTCGAAGCTTTTGCCAGTAGATCTCTGCATATTTTGGCCATCTTGTAGCCGCTATTCTATATGTTGGCTCTGTTATGCGGCGTGACTGGACTAACGTGATCTCTTTGTTGTATTCTGAGGGTTCGCGATCATTTTCAGGAGAGTTCAGGATATTTAGCCATGCGGAAACATCTTCGGGTCTAGCTTCACCCTGCTCATCGTCATAGGGGACCTGCACAGGTGACTCGATAGCCTCTGGGTCATATTCCTTCTGGACCAGAAGTTGGGGCAGTGGTTCTGATTCGAGTAGAGTGAGCCGAAGTGAGATATCCTCAAGAGTGTCTGAGATTCCAAGCACAAACGCTAGTTTTGATCGGATGTCCTGGAGTGATGATCTAGCGGCTTTAATCCCATCAGAAGTGGCGAGATGGTGGAAGGACTTGATGGCAGTGAGGAGTAACTCGAACCCATCGATAATTGGCCATTCTTGTGGAGGGTCATTTTCTGACCCTGAGGCGCTAGGGGTGATGCCCAGGGTGCTGTCGGCGGCATCGTTGTCTACAGACAGCTCAACGATGAGGGACTCAAGACTATAGAGAGTGCCTCCAAGAAGTCTTAGCTCGATGGTTAAGGATTTGAGGTCATTTTTGTCAGCTTTGGTCCCGCCCTCCGCCTTGAGATGTGTACTGATACAGGCACAAGCTTCAAATGTGGAATCCTTCAATGTACGAACGGTCTTCAACAATGGAGGCGACATTTTGCTGACTCGAGCTCATGTTGTTGTTCCTGTTGCTGTTGCTGTTTCTGCGTAAGTAGCTTCTCTGCGAAGCATAAAAAGTCGAGGTTGTACCATTGATCGCAATGAGAAAAAGAAGTTGAAGATGGAAGTAAGTTAAGTTATTCGTCAGTCAGTGGAGGCTCAAGGCTGCCGATGTCATGGTTCAATGGATGTGGAGGTAATGGGCAACTGGGCCACCAATCAGCACGGCTGACAGTGGAGCTTGGGCCACCGAAGATTCAGTGGCCTCGCAGAAGCTCAAACGTTGAGCCTACCTATCGTTAGAAGAATAATTGTACAGATTTAGAACAATATAGGATAGACTGAGCATAGGCTTAAGGGTGAATTTAGACAATTGAGATGATTTGATAAGAATTTAGTAGAGATTTAGTAAAAGTTTAGTATATGGTTGACGAAGTTTAGTACTAGGTATTGGTCACAGGCGTCTCTGCACACTAAGTTAGAAGGTAATCTGGACAGTGACGATCAAACACAAAGTTCGTAAACGATGGATAAATAGCCTTTGAAGCCAGGGGAAGCAAGAAAACTTCAGATCTCAAGCTTAAGTGGCAAGAATAATTGTCCATCAGAAGAATTTAGGATGGGTTCAGTAGCCACATTTCATCATGGCTCATAATATAGTAGTTTCCGACGCGCCAACCCATGACTAACAGACATCAAGCTCGTGAGTATAATATGCCAACGTTACAACTTTACTGTTCCGTAGACGAGGGCTCACTGTCAGGAGATATCTCAAGAAAAAGCTCATGAGTTCGAGGAATAGAAAACCGAATTCATGCTCGTGGTGCAGTGCATGTACTCCTTGCTCGTGAAGATGAGCTCGTGGTAGATGACTGAGAACTAAGCTTCATGTAACCGAGCCTCATGCAGTGAGCACGACCATCATAACCGTTCTGGAACCAATGAGGAAACGTAAAAGTCACTAACCTGCCAGACCGTTGACCAACCCGTAACTTTTCAATTGGTATAGGAGATCAACACTAAAATCTGAAGCTACTGTATCGAAAATCCTTCTCGAGATTCGCTATCAAAGGATTGTCGCCGGCTGACTCACACGGAGTGATCAAAGACGAACCAAAACACCAGCTTCCTCATTCGGAATCATACAAACCCCTCTCCCAATCGCCTCATCGATCACCATCTCCAAAATAAACGTATAAAAACTAAGCCAAGACCTTGACAATAACTCATCCAGAAACCTAAACTCATAGTAGAAAATTACAAACACAATGTCATCTATAACAATCCGCCCCGCCACAATCGACGACAGCGACTCAATCGCAAACATCCACTACGAAGCACTACAATTCTACCACGACTTCTATGCCGCTTTCTTCCAGCTCCATCCCCGCGATCTAATCCCTCTCGCCACAAGAAACGCCCTGCAGAATCCGGGGCAGCAGCACTTCTTCGTCGCTGAGCAGGCGGGGGAGATAGTCGGGTTTGTGCGCTACAAAGAAGTATTCAAAGACATAAAGCCGAACTCGAACGCGAAAACCCCCGCGTCAGAATGGACGGTCAAAAAACACATGGAGGAGTTATGGGATTGGTTTAATAAGAGGAGTGAAGAGATTGACGCATCTAAAGAAAAAGCCGTTGATGGGAAAGATCATTTTGGTAAGTCTTCTTTAATGTGTTTTTTTTAATCGTATGTATCAAAGTGGCTTCCGTCTAATGCGGCGTAGAAGTGATGCATCTCATGGTCCACCCAGACCATCAACGGAAAGGCATCGGCGGCCAACTCCTCCAATCCGTCACCGAGAAAGCCGACGCCGCTAATGCCCCAACGCTGATCGTATCCTCCGTCGAGGGCCACGGCCTCTACAGAAAGCACGGCTTCGAGTCGCTGGGGACATGGACGGTCGACAACGGGGAATGGGCGCATAAGATCGCGGAGCACGAAAGGGCGATCGGATATACAGACGGAGTTATCGACATCGAGGACAAGTACAGAGGGATACGCGAGGTCGAAGATAGCATGATCCGGCAGCCCAACATCCGTGTTGCATGATTCGCCAATCTGTGCTTTTTAGTGTGGGTAGTACATAGCGCACCGTTCTCTAGTTCGTATTCGTTTTCTGTTCCAGAAAGAAGAAGAAAAAAATAAGAGAAAATTCGGGAATTGGGTGTGTCCCCGCTCCAATCACGATAAGATCAAGATGTGCAAATCCAGGTACAACGGCCTAGCGAGCCCCCCCCTTCACTTACAGCGGCGTGGGACCCCTGTGGGTACTACGCCATTCATTGAAATTAACCCTTGGAATTGGGTCCTTTTGCGGCATCCAAACACCCCCGGCTCCGAGAGGGAAAGACACCGCTGGAGGCAAGATTTCAGCGGAGCTCAATCTTAATAATGATGTGAAAATCGCATGATCTCAGTTCCCGTTTGTTCTTATCAATCTTTCTTCTCTCTCCTGCATCTTCGTCTTTTCTTCTCTGGCACTGTAGATTCACTTCCAATTCGCTTCACCATGGACGCTATACTCGAGCTCCTCGACCCGTATGTCTTCGATTACGGATACGCATACCTTTTCCCCCAACAGCAGCTCCAATCATCAACAAAGGCATACGGAAACTCAACAAACTACGCCTCGTCTTCCACGAACTTTGACGATGAGTACTCCCTCAACTTTGGCTCGTCACTACCGCGCGACGACATCTACCGCCAGAGCGCTTCGATTCTCTTGATCGCTGGCTTCGGCGCCGCCTTCATCTATGTTATTTCCGCCGCCCTTTCATACTACTTCGTTTTTGATCGCCGTCTCGAATATCACCCTCGATTCCTCAAGAACCAGATCAAGCTCGAGATCCAGTCTAGTTTCTTCGCCATCCCTATCATCGATCTTCTTACACTCCCTTTCTTCCTTGGAGAAGTCCGCGGTCACAGTCTGCTGTACACCCGAATTGACGAGTATGGCTGGTGGTGGCTGGCCGTGTCTACCGCCCTCTACATGGTCTTTAACGACCTTGGCATTTACTGGATTCATCGCCTTGAGCACCATCCCAGTATCTACAAGTATGTTCACAAGCCTCACCACAAGTGGATCAGTAAGTCAAACTCTCTCTTGCATCAAACGCCGCGCTAACAAGAGCTTCAGTTCCCACCCCCTGGGCTGCCATTGCTTTCCACCCTGTCGACGGATACCTCCAATCCCTCCCTTACCAGTAAGTAACGACTTCTGCGCCGCAATTAGCCTCGTACTAACAGCAACAGTGTCTTTGTCTACATCTGCCCCATGCAGAAGCACCTCTACATGTTCCTCTTCGTCTGCGTTCAGATCTGGACCATCCTTATTCACGACGGCGACATGATTACCGGCCATTGGCTCGAAAAGTTCATCAACAGCCCTGCCCACCACACTCTCCATCACATGTTCTTCACCTGCAACTACGGCCAATACTTCACATGGGCCGACAACTACTGGGACTCTCACCGTGCTCCCATGCCCGAGCTGGACCCTATTCACGAGGCCCTCCGAGTCATGCGTGAGAAGGGCTTGGTGGACAAGGATGGAAACCCCGTCAAGAAGTCCAAGGATGAGTAAATGCAGATATGACATTTATGAATACTTCACCAAACGGGGTCGTGTCCAACTAGAACAGACCGACCATTCCGGTGCCGGCACCATCATCACGACTGGAGTACCCTTGGCCTCACAGCATCGCCGACTGTGCAGAGATTCCGGGACTCTCACGAAAAGTTTTCGATCAATCAAATAGACAGTTTTAATCACATAGCGTTGCATAGGGAATTTTTCGACAGGAAATGTATTGACTAGAGGATAATAGCAATAAGTATAATACCAAAACATTCTGATAACCGTGCAAATATCCCAAAACCTGTCCCCCATCCCTCACGACTAACTTCCCGCACTACGACTGCCAGCCCACCTTTTGTCTCACCGATTTAAATAGTTCGCCTCCTGAACTTAGACTTGAGCCTGGCCCTGGGTGACAGGGTGCGAGTCAAGACCCAGCTTGAGCCGTCTCTTGCAAGCCTTCCACATCTCAATAAGAGCGATATAAACAACAACACAGCCCGCGACGACACCCCACTCCCATGAAAGACCCTTGTGCTTGAACACCTCGGTGTTGAGGTAGGGAATATACACGATAGGGAAGATCATGACAAAACCGGCAACAACGGACCAGAAGAGGAACTTGTTGTGGTAGATGGTCTTGAATACAGAGAAGGGGCCAGTGGCACGCTCGTCCATGTTGAAGAGACTGCGGTGGAAGTGCTTCACCTCCCAAGCTGTAACAAGCAACAGGAAAGCCAAGGTGGAGAAGGTCGTGGCACGAGCGCGATAAACAAGATCACACTCATCGTGTCCGCTCTCGTTGCAGCCTTCCGCCATTAGGTAATAACCTTGGCCAGATGAAGCATAGTTGACAAGCATAAAAGCACACAGACAGAGGGAACCCGAGGCGAGTCCATAGAAAAGCTGATCGCGAACGAGGTCAAGGGTAAATACTCCGCTGCGCAAGCTGCGGGGAGGTCGTCGGAGGATATCAGGAGAGGCTTCCTCGAGACCAAGACCCAGAGCCAGAGGCGACGAGGTAACCAGATTGGCCCAAAGGATTTCCAAGGGGGACAAGGGGAAAACGGCGTTACCATTCACATCCTTGAAGGCAAGACCAATAAGAAGGAGAATGACTTGAGCCAAATTGGATGTCAGAAGATGAAGAAGGAACTGTACCAATCAGCATCATGTCAACAAGCAAGAAGAGCAAAAACATACCTTCTGGATATTGTCAGCAAGTCGCCGACCTTCCTGGATACCAGTAACGATCGAGGCAAAGTTGTCATCAGTGAGAACCATGTCAGCCGCCTCTTTGGCGACGTCGCTACCACGGTCTCCCATGGCAATACCGACATCAGCTTGTTTAAGAGCAGGCGAGTCGTTGACACCGTCACCAGTCATGATGCAGAATGCTTTGCGGCGATGGAGGGCTTCGATCATGCGAACCTTGGTCAGAGGGCTACAGCGAGCGAGAACCACGGGGAGTTCGTCCAGGCAGTCAATCTCAGCGTCGCTAAGGGCACCAAAGTCGGCAGCTGCCATGACGGTGTTGGACTTGAGGGGAACGTTCTTGTTGAGAATACCAACTTCGTAGGCAATGGCTGTGGCGGTCTTGATGTGGTCGCCAGTAACCATGTGAACAGTAACACCGGCGGCGCGACATTGTTCAACAGCGCCAGCAGTCTCAGGGCGAGGAGGGTCATAGAGACCAGCCAGACCGACAAACTGAAGCTCACTCTCAACCTTGACACGATCATGGCAATCCTGAACGTCGCCATTCATAGGCTTGGTTGCGATACAGAGCACTCGCAAACCTTGGCCGGCAAGTTCTTCAGCTTTAGCAAGGATTTCCTTTTTAAACTCTCCAGTCTCAGTAAGCTTGGTGAGAAGGACCTCAACAGCGCCCTTGGTATAGACGTGTCGAGTCTGTTCGATCTCATTACCGTAAACAACGCTCATGAGCTTGCAGGAAGAATCGAAAGGATGTTCGGCCACCAGGGTGTCACCCCCGGAAACGCTACGGCCGAATCTCATAGCGAAGACCTTGAGAGCAATCTCAGTAGGCTCACCAATGGCCTTCCACTCAGCATCTTCGGAAGTGATGATGCTGCTAGAGTCCGTCTCGGGCTCTTTCTTGCCGTCGCTGACTGTGGCGTTGTTGCAAAGAGTAAGAACCTTGAGGAAAGTGTTCAGGCAGCTTCCAGCCAGGTCAGCAGACCACTTGACAGTTCCGCTGTAAGGGTCGTAGGGGTTGGCGGTGCCCTCAACAGTTCCGGCAAGATCGCCACGGAGCCAAACCTTTCGGGTAATCATTCGTCCTTGAGTCAGGGTACCAGTCTTGTCCGAGCAGATGTTGGTAACACCGCCAACGGCTTCAAGAGAAGGCATCTGACGAACAATGACATTTCCGCGGACCATTGCCTTGGTGGCAACGGCCATTGTAACTGTCAAAACTGCGAGGAGAGACTCGGGGATAACAGCCACGCCGACGCAGATACCGTACAGAAGGACTTCATCGGTGATTTTCCACAGGCTGGCGGAAAAGACGATGATGACCAGGATAATGGCGAAGGCGAAAAGCAACAGGGCGAACTTGCTGAGGGTGACCTGGAGAGGGGTTCCCTCGAGGCCAAGGATTCTGCGACAGAACTGGTAGGACTTCCAAACTGCGCGACCGACGGGAGTCCTTTCGGTGTCGTCGTTCTTAGTCTTGCGCAGGAGTTCGGCGATTTGGCCGACCTCTGTTTCCATACCAGTAGCAATGACAATACCGGTGGCTCGCCCTCTAGTGACAGAGCTTCCGGAATAGGCCAGGTTAACACGATCACCCATGGGCATATCGGGGTCGGTGAATACGACATCAGGCTTCTTGCTGATGGCGATAGATTCACCAGTGAGAAGTGCCTCATCGGTAGAAACGTTGATACCTTGAATCAGGCGCAGATCAGCAGGAACAACATCGCCAGTTGCGAGAGAGACTATGTCTCCCTTGACGAGGGTTTCGGCCTTGACAGTTTCACTGTGTCCATCTCGGATGACCTTGCATTTAGGGGTGGACAGGGCATAGAGCGACTGGATGGTCTGCTCAGCGCGGTAGTCCTGGATCAATCTAGCGGGTATAATGTTAGCATGGAGAGGAGATTAATGAGTACGGCTAGATGTGATTCGGACTGTCAGCTTCAGGGTATGGCACAGGATTCGGCCTCAGTGCTTGGGGCTTCTGGCCTTACGCATGGCAAAATCACAGGCTTCACCGTATGGCAGCAGGAACAAGGAACAGGAACAGGAACAGGAACGAGAAGAAGGTATGTGTAGCAAAGTGAGTGCAGCAACAATGTGGGGAGTTGCAGCAGCAGCAAGCGACAAGACTTGACCAGCAGATTTTGGCTGGGCGAGTGAGTGACGCAGCAAAGACATACCCGACAACGATGTTGAGGACAATGACGGCGGCGACGACACCACCCTCAATATAGTCCGAGATAGCAAA